GTTCTGGATATGGAATTGGGGCCTCATAAACACGCTCTGAAACTTGTTCTGGGACAGTTTCTGTACTGGACAGTTTCTGTTGTTCTGCAGGATCTGCAGGGTCTGCTGCTGTTTCAGTATTTTCTGCATAAATGTTCACTGCTGGCTGATCCTTTTCAGTGCTATTTTCACGATTGTCATAGCTCTTTCCACATCGTAAGGTCCGAACAACATTACAATCTTCACGTCCTCTTGGATTAGGCACTGATTGACTAGGGAATTTGCCTATTTCTCTCTCTGAAATCTGTGCAGCTAGCTGTCCAAATTGTTGCTCCAAACTTTTAATTGATGCTTCAACATTTTGAAATCTTTGATTGTTGCCTTCTATGAATGATTGAGTTGTTGCTGCCAATTTAGCAAGTTGATCATCCAAAGATGGTCTAGATGGAACATATGGTTTTTGTGCATGCTGGAATGGTTTCTGATTGTTCTGATTGTCACCCCATTTGAAATTAGGGTGATCCCTCCATCCTGGATTGTAATGAGTTGCATATGCATCGTTCCGAGGCCTTTGATAGCTGTTCATCATGTTAACATGTTGCTCAACAAGTTCCGGATAAGATTCTTTATGTGGGCAGCCCATTATGTCATGTGTAGCCATGCTGCAGATAGTGCAAACTGTTGTTGCAGGTGGCTGTTGCTGTGTAGAATTTGCTATCTGTTGTAGAAGAATATCAAACTTTGCATCAATTTTCTTCTCCATTTTTTCCATTTGTGCAGACATGTTGGGAGAACCAACTGATAACTCAAAAATGCCCCTTTTCTGTGAATGTTCTGCTGCCCATTGCTGAGATTCTGTAGCCATCATATCAAAGAGTTCAAAGGCCTCTCTTGCAGATTTATTTGACAGCGATCCTCCAGCTGATGCATTCACATGACTTTTTGATGTAGGATTAAGCCCATCAAAGAAAATATTCATCTGTGTATCTGCATCAATATTAGCATGTGGACACTTCATGTACATCTCTGTATATCTCTCCCATGCTTCATAAAACTCTTCATTAGGCTTCTGTGTGAATGTCAAAATCTCCCTTTTGTAATTTAATGTCTTGGATGCTGGATAATATTTGTTCAGGAATTTTGTGTGTAACTGCTGCCACGTAGTGATGCTATTAGCTGGTAGAGTGAATAACCAAGTTTCTGCCTTATCCTTCAAAGTGAATGGGAAAAGACATAACTTAATAGCTTCAGCAGAAAAACCCTTAATCAAAATGTTTTTGCAACCCACAATGAATTTTGCAATATGTATGTTCGCATCTTCATTAGGTAGCCCACGGAATGTTGGTAAAATCTCAAGCATGTGGTGCCTGATTTCAAACGAATCACCCTCTTCTTGTTCAGGATAGACTATGCAATTAGGAACATCATTTGCACGGGCAGCCAACGACTCTCTGAGTGGTCTGCCTGCTGCAGGTATTGCCAATGCCATTTTAACCTTGCTGTCCACAAAATCAGCAAACAAATTCTGCAAAAATGTGTCTTGCAATGAAGAATCAGATGCTAAAAACTGTTCTCTGCGTTGCTTTCGTAATATCCGTTCAGGCTCTGGGTCAAACGAAACAAACTGTGTAGGTTGTGATCTGGTACTGACCATGCAGAGATTTCAGCAATCTGAAAAAAAAGAAACGAAATTTTTTTTTATTTTATAGTTTTTGACGAAAAATAAAAATAAAAATAAAAATAAAAAATCCGAAAACGTCTAAACAAGAATTAACTAAGAATAAGATAAAAACAAATTAATTGAAACAATCCCCGGCAGCGGCGCCAATTTCTTGATAGGATTTTTAGTACCTGCGCAAAGAGGGTTAAAATCACTGAAAATACTTGCAAGAATACAAGGCTATTGTAGTATATATGCTCATGCAAGGTCGTTGTCCCCAAAGATTGTTTGACTAATTTGTAATTAAACTAACTCTTAATTAATAACTAAAATAGATTTTATCAAAGATGTGAAATTTATGAAGTTGAAAGGATTAACTTGACAATAAAAGAAATCTGAAAGTTGGGAGGTAATAATAGCAGAGAATAAAAAACGTTTTTAAAATTAACAATATAGAGAGAAACTAGGGTTCAGCCGTCGCCGTCACAATCCTATGCAATTCTCTCAATTACTTATGAATTTCCACATATATGCTTTGAAGGTTAGGTTTTCCTAATGCATATTTTCCTTGTGATGTTCAAGCGAAAACGTATATCTAACATGCAATCCGTCTGTGATGTTCAGATCAAATATAAACATGCAAGACTCATTAAGCTTTGTGAAAACCCTTTGAAAAACCATGCAACCCTTAAGAGCGTGATGTTCGCCTTAAGTGAACTTACAATTACTAATCACAAGAAGCCCTCCTCAATTTCAGGGTGATGTTCCAACAGAAATTGCATCAAATTACTTGTCTAAATATCCTAATGGTGATCAGTCATTAAAATAGATAGATAGTTTCAAACACAGTGATTAATAATTCAAAGCAAACATGCATCCATTCATAAGCAAATTAATAAAATTACATATTCATGCTAAGGCTTATGGCCTCGCCCTAGCAAAAGGAATTAGTTACGCATACTCATAACTAAAATCCCCCAAAATATCATTCGAATGAATAAGAATAAAAACACCTGGAAGTAGAAGTTCTTCAAAAACCCTAGCAAAAGTCGCGTTCCAAAAGCCAAAAGAGAGATCCTAAATTTGCTGTGAAAAATAGTTTAAATACCTCCTCAAACTCAGCTCCTAATCCCCCAAAGGAAACTAGGCTAAAATAAAATAAAACTAGGAAATAAAGTCCAAGTTGGACTAGAAGAATCTGCCAACAATCTGTCCAGCCACGTTTTGGCCACAAATCTCCTCAAAATCTGGCCCAAGATAGCTTGATTTAAAGATAAAAACGTTCTGAACACTTCTCCAGAAGGCCACGAACCCATCCGAGGTCATCTTGGGCTCCAAAACGCAATAAAAGCCCAACACGTCACTATTCCAGCACCGCGCACTGCTCCTTTATTTTATCACCAGAAAATTACCGCTCAGTAGAAAAGTCTGAAATTTTGATACGATCAAGCCAAGTGACTCACGAACGTCCTCCAACTCGGAGGGAGGAGTCATTTGGTTAAGTTTGAGTGAAATCCGATATCTAGAACTACCCAAAACACCAACCACTCCAATTAGGAACGAACTGCCTTTGAACTTGAACTAAAAATGAGGTTAAATATATAATATAAAATATGCCCATCACACTCCATTAGGAACGAACTGCCTTTGAACTTGAATTGTCCAATTTCTTACACCTATTGATTTCGGATCAAGCCCAAAACTTGGGCGACCTCATTATATGGTGGGAGGAGTCATTTGGATAGTTTTGAGTGAAATCCGATCTCTAGAACTATGGAATACACCAACCACTCCGATTAGGAACGAACTGCCTTTGAACATAAATTGTCCAATTTCTTACACCTATTGATTTCGGATAGAGCCCAAAACTTGGGCAAC